GCTTTGGCTTCGGTTGGTGCAGCCCGCCTTCCAGGTTGGGGCCCAAGGGATGAGGATTGTCTATGGTTAGAGACGCTGAGAGATATGGCGCAGAATAGAAGTCAGTGGCGCGAATGCTGTACGATCTGTCTATCGAAATCCCGTGCCCATTAAGAAAAACGAAACATCAAACAACAAAAAAAATTGCAAAAGGTGTACGGTGAAACACACACACAAAAAAATTCTGTTATCTTGTATTTTCCATGTTTAACTGTCTCACTCACTTTTCCCCATGTTCTGTATCCTAATCCACCTATCCCCTTCACTGTCATTGTTGTTGCGTTGGCACCATGCTTGTTTTCAAGCCGGTGGTAAATATATATATATATATATGCAATACGTTGAGTTACCTGTCATTTTGAATAAGGTAGACACAGGGGCATTGTTAAATTATTTAGCAAACTCATGTCTATAAATAACTATTTTTATACAATTCTTTCAATCTATCTATGTACATGATTCACGTCAAACTCACGTTAACAATAAAAATCCGGGGGAAATTTTTCAGTTTGTCCCATTCTTGTTGTCCAATCAGCTGACTGTTTCCCAAAATCACAATATCCAAAATCTCCTTCCAATGAAATCGAAGTGGCATGATAAAATTTTCCAAATTCAACGGTCCGTTGGTCGGGGTGCCCACAACACAGACCAGAATGTGATTGGTAAATTTGAATTCACCCGCTTGACTCGGGGTCTACAAAACAACCACAAGAGCAGGGTGATCAGAAGTGAAACCAACTGCCATTGATCGATCCTGGTGAATAAAAGATTATGACTACCTAGATGGGTTTCGAACCACGTATGCGGATAGTCCTAAATCTTTGTTTACGTTACAATTTGCACTGTAGGGCGACACCGACTGCTCTGATACTTTCCACATTTGGTCACTCATTTGGAGTGTGAATTTTACTTGCTGATTAGTGTATCCTTTGTCTCTGTGTGACTTGGGCGGACGGAAGAGACCTCATCTGTCAGAACTCAACTGGTGGACTGTACATCGTAAAAAAGTTACCAAATGGATGGCAACAGTGCGCAACGTTTGACGAGATAGATGATGGTTAAAGACATTAAAAGGTGACCAAACAAAGACCTTGTATGAGAGTATGAAAACCCTAGTCAGGTGACTTCCTTACATAGATTGTGTTAAATATCCTAGATGGGGTCATCCAAATCATAGTACTCAACGATTAAATATACCGAGTAATATGACCGACTGCCGTAAACGGTGTCGCTCGTATACCTTCTCAATTTATTTGCAACCTTACAGAGTCTCCAAAAAATTCTCTATTTTCACCTTGAAACTGATGTGAACATTCCAATCTTCCCTCTACTTGATGCTGTGAGATACTACTGAAATTTGTGAGTACTATGTTTGAAGTACGAATTATGATATGATTGGTGGTTTTTAAAAACGGTCAAAAATGAATAAAATCTCCTAGAGAGAATTAGCGTATTCAAAAATTGTGACTGTAAACAATGGAAACCGGACTGTTCCATCATTTACCCTGCATGCTTACTGACATTGTGATTGGACCGTTTCAGATGAGATGTTTCGATGTATGTAACCCAATTTACCCGTATCCCTTTTCCAAATGAACTACTCATCTCAGACAAGTCCTATCCTCTAGAATCATACGAGAGAAAACAACGAAAGCCACCGCACAGAGATGCGTGTTTAACGGTTGAAAACGGACACAACTCCGCAAAATGTCGCCGACCGGACTAGTCCTTAGGTTCGATTACCCCCGAGGGTTCTGATTTTAACACAATGCAACCATATGTAAATATGGTTCAAAAAATCTACAAAAAATAAGGCAATTTGAAAATTCTCAGTCGGTGTATGGCTGCCAGTCATTCAGGGTGTCCCTGAATTGACGATGAACAGGCTCGAAATCAAGAACTACATAAGTGAAAAATGTACGCTAAGCTCAATATTAGTTAACACCAGTAAAAATACTTCGCAAAAAGCCCGGTTTAACTTTCAGGTTTGAATGTGCAGTCTCTCGCAGTCCTACTCAGCGATATTTTCAGTTCGTATTTAAATATCAGTTATTTATGAGTAATGGTGTGGGAAAGGGACGTTATCGACTGAATAGACCAGCCCTTACCACTAACCACACCTAGCCGTGAGCTAAATGCGATTGGATTAGTTTGTTGGACTAGGAAAACATAAGCATATTTTGGAAGTCAGAATTCAATCGATAATGGCTTCTGTTTACCGAATCAGTATCAAACTGTATCCATATGGTATTGGTAAAAGTAAATGTTAGATTTGAATCCACAAAGGGTATAGAGATTGCAATTAATCGCACCGTTTTTCTTTGATATGCTTCGGTTAAGTTTTATTTTATATTACCGTTAACCATGTGCGGTGGTTTTTTGGTTGCAGTCCTCTAGCTGCCTGTTTGAATGAAAGAACATAGAGGAGAATGGAGTGCTGAAGAATGGATCAAGGTGGGAATACAGAATTCACATTACATGGATATCAAAAGATACGTGACACGTAACCATTCATATCACTCAGTGTCTCTAACCATCGGCTTCACTCACCTCGAGATACCCTTTCAGGGAGCCTAACACGACCAAATACGACCAAATCTCGGGATCAGACTTTTCATACCGTCATGTCAGGTCTTAGTTTTGATAACTCTTGAATTTTTCCATCTACCATCCGTCTCTGTAAACGCCGTACACCATGGCAATCTATTTGTGGACATGCATAATACATATTTCAAACAACTTAATGTATGGAGGTTGACCAAGATTAAGCAGAATTTCGCGCATAACCGCAACATCTTGTGTCCCATTTGTTCACCGAAGTCGTATACTGCAGTGTGAACAGTGATATCTGAGCGCCAACAGTCTATCTTTATTCTTTGCTTGTAACGGTCAAGTCTCTTCACATCATACAACAGTGACCAGACTGCCTGCAATATATACTTGACCTTTAAACGGAATCTTTTGCATGTTCTTAATCTTTCGCATACTTTTGCGTCATTTTAAAGTCTAATAAATGATCAATGAACACCTATCGAAATGCGAATGCTTCCGTCTCCAAGCCACACGTCGAAGCACTCTGTTCATCCGTTGTGAAAAGAATTTTCCATAAAAGAAAAGTTATCACTTGCGCTAACTACTATTAGCACATGCAGTAAGTAGACAATAAGAATGAAGATTAAGGACGTGTAACAAAAGCAGAAACTGCATCATGAGTTACACTAGATTGTGTCTCAGTTCATTTGATTGTTGTTTTTTAGAAACCTGGAAACCGAGTATCTGCGAAAATACCTAATTTCAACACATATTGTTCGTTTTGGTACAATTCATATCCCAAATTTCTACTGATGGAGATATGATCGAAATTGATTGGTCCGCTTTTTGACTGTCTGTTGGTCGCGCTTGTCTATACCCCGCACATATACGTAATAAATAAGGTTTTCTTGACTGAAGGGAGTGCACTAACTTATATTTGCATCCTACTACGGGTTGAAGTTATGAAAGGTAACAAAAGAAGCTGTAGCCTGCAGCTCCGTCCGGATCCGTATCACGGTGTGCTGTTGCACTGCCAATGTGCGTGTAGCTGCTTGAATCGAAGAAAAACGAACATTGTAAAGGACTGTTGTGTCGGACGGATAACAAGAACTTACTAATGTGGCTTTCGAATAGGGCATATCTGGCGCCCAGTGAAACGACCCGGTCCGATCCACCTTGTTCACTCGTGACTGATGAAATCGCAGTCCCGGGGACAGTAGGGATTCCGTTTCACAGCGATTTTCTGTCCCACTCAGTTGATCCGATTCCGGACGTTTCCGTTTCAATTTGACTGATGCAAATCGGAACCCTAGGCGATCTGGGCCATTGAAATTGCTCCCGTTCAACAAGGCATATATATTACGTTGATCGTTCGGACTGACTGGACCCAAACCAGTGATTGAATGACGATAGTAGGAAGGGACTGTTTCGAAGTTTTGATCTTCCATGGAAGATTCAAACAGTTTGCTAAACAGATGGATGGAAGTGGATTGAACAAAATGCAATTGCATTGTATGGTATTATGTATTATTTTTGCAAGCACTGGAGCTCACATTTCAGTTAAAAAATCATACACGCTAAACGTCACAATGTACATAATCAACGGGGAGAAAAGTTTTTACAAGCATGGGGACATTTCACGATCCAAGGTGAAGAAAAAGTTCACTTATTGTCCGCTCTTTGTTTATGAGTAGACGAGCCAGATACTTTGTGGGTGAATTGTGGTAAGCGTTATTTCGAGATGAAATGTGAGGGTATAGGGAGCGTGTTGAATGATGGGAGCGACAAAGTGCCAGTTCTGCGTGCAATGGGTGGTCAGGATATGTGAGAATCCTCTCAGAAAACGTCACACAGGAAGTTACGTGATACTCTGAAAGCTTTAAAGCTAACTCATTCACAGGAACGGCCAGTGAATAAAACAAGGACATAGATAGAAAGCCTCGTAAGGAAAACACTGAAAGGATTACAATTAAACTATGCTACATTCGGTTTTTTTTTCTAAAAAGGAATTTATCTTGCTCCGGGGAGGTAGAACGGAACAAACTATTGTACGGTTATTCACATCTCATTGTCCATTATCTACATGAAGATATTCAATGCGACTTGAATTCAGAACAGCGCGGTCTGACCAAATACCTGCCATCTATTCGTCTATACTGAACAGTTGACTGTGCATTTGTGATTTCAAAATTAAATTTCAATTTTTTACCATGGATAAATTTGAGGCATATTGAATCCCACAGGATCTGTACACACTGCGCGCGTCTGTTAGTACAGCTTAATAACAAATTACTTTTTTTCACAGTTGCTGACTACTTAAGCGTCATCCGGCCGTGACTTACTTTTGTAGGTTCAATGCTAACCACTGATAATTTACGGCAATGCTCTAATCGTTTAGAATTCTGAACTTGAACCGAAATGAAGTGGTGAATTTCCGATATCACTGAATATTTATTGTCAGGTCAATCTTTTAAATCCAGCAACATTTACTTATCAACCTTTGGCCTAACGTATAAGCACTTCGGGAAAGTTCGCTTCCATGTCCTAGCGGTTAGGTTATTGCTTTTAGATCACCAAATTCCGAGTCGAAATCTTTACAGTGCCAGTATCTATCTGTTAATTTTGTTGGCTATGTTAAGGCTCAATGTCCTTTGAAGGCAGGCAGTATTCAAACTTAAGATTTACTTCGTAGTTGTATTTGTCAATTACCTGCCATTATAATATTACAAATACGTAGTTCTCTAATTTGGCACGGCCAAAACAGGGGAATGAGAACTTTTGTTTGAATGATTTGAGGCTTGTTTCATTTTACTTTCCTTTTAAACCTGTGCACGCATATTCGGTATTCTGTCGCGGTCCAAAGTATTCTAAAACCGGAATACTATACGGAATTAAGTAGTAATTTGCTTTGCAAAGTTGTTTGCTACACACCAAACATGGAAGGGCTTGATCTAATTCCTGTTCGTCAAAACGACAGTACCATGGAATATCACATGTATGGTCCTATGTTTATGACTAAGCGTGTTTAATACACATCAACCGTTCACGCTGCTGGAACAACTGAGAAGCGCATCGTATGACATCAAAAGGTGGTAGTCAAAGTACTGAATAGGCTGTGCATACGAAACGATGAAAAATTGGTCAAGGACTAACTTTAATGGCCGTTGACTGGATATAGTAGGAGTTTACCAAGTTGTGTATCATATTTTCAGCGAAATTTCATTAAAACACTGAAAACGAAGCAATCGAATAGCGCACTAAGGTGTGGCGAACCAACTGCGTATCCCACAACGGATTAAAGCAGTATCTATTGGTAAAGAAGAGGCCATAGGACCTTCATGAACCAATTTATAGTGAACAGCAGCAGACGCTTATGATTCACCGTGTCTATCTACTTGACATAAAACAGGGTTAGGGACAAACAGATTGGTGAGTTATGAGCATAATGCGGACAGGTGAGAAGGAGAACTTCACATCTAGTTAGACTGGCTTACAACTGATCTACTTAGGTGAATTTTAGAGAGAGAGAGACGCAGACCACACTCACTAGAAACGGGTTTGTACAGAATTCATTATCACAAAACCTCTGCCTAATACTGACCAATGTCCAGTGACATTTGGACAACCGTTCGTTTGTTTTCGTATCAGCACCATCCCCGGGGTCATCATTGTGTTATGCGCGCCATCGTCGGGTAACATATTCGGTGATCAAGCGTTCAAACCAACTGTTGGCAATTGTTTGTGCTCACGCAGAGCGATCTGCTGTTATGAATTCTCTCACTAATTAGTGTGTACAGATTTGTTTATCAGACAAATACGATTGTTTATCTGAATAGAAAGCAAATTTTTCAAAAAGCTTAGACAATCAGAAGGTCATTTTAGCGGTTCTTAAAGTCATCAAAACACACTGGAACTGATCAACTACAAAGGTGGGTCAGAAGAACAATTGGACAGCTACCGTTTGTGGTTTTGTTCGGATTTGACATGTGTGACTGGTATCACCTCATTGCATACAAGGTCACTCGAGTGGTCCAGAGTTGTGCCTTTTGATGAACTGCATGCTTGACAGCCTGCCAACATTAGATTGTAGTCCATTGAAAACATCATAATACTGAGTGAGCACTTCACGATGTAAACTTTCATGATTATTTAGTTTATGATTGTGACAAAGAAATTCATTTGGGGGCTAAAACGAACCCCGGTAACATGCTGACTATACACTTTCAGGTGAACGATTGTTTC